TGCATGGATTTCAGTTGCAGTGCTGTGGAAACTGAGTCCTGCTTGGGATGGTGAAGATGGGCAAAGCACTTGGTCTTGACTTGAGGACTGTGTGGAATCATGGTAGAGTCTTGCATCTTGCATGCTGATTCTAGAGAATAAGCACATAAGGAACTAGCCAGAGAATGGACTGAAAAGGTGACTAATTCCACAAACTTCAGAATTAACTCCTAAGCAACTTAAAAGTTCAAAGAATGTGGAAGATAAACTCAAATAGAACAATTAAATATACCCTTTTGGAGTGGGAAAAGGTTTCAAAGAATTTGATCTATGAAGAAGGAAATAATAAAAGTGGTCTCTGGAAACAAAAGAAAAGAAGGCTAAACATTGACTATAATAACATGATTTGAATTGTTATCTGGGAAGTTTTAGTGGCCCTGTGTCTGCATCTTAAAAATGACACATCATACTTTCTATCAAATACATCTGTGCCATGTTCAAAACCAATGGGAGCAGATTTCAAATCATCACAACCTTCAGCTTTTGAGGAGCAGCACACCCCCCCTCACTCTGTGAGATGGAGATTGAACCCATCTGTCTCCATGTGCCATCTCTCCTCTGGCCTCCTCTCTTAGGGCCCCAGTATGTGGGCTGCAGGCAGCTGGCCACATTTATTCCCCAATACAGGCTGGATGTAGGTGGGTGGGTAGGGGTGCAGTTATAAAGAGCTTCTGAGAACAATGGATGCCATGGAAATGCTTTGGGAACATCGAGTATAAAAAGGAAGCCCCAAATTAAACAAAAGTAGAAAGAAATGAATCATGAGTGTAAATAAAAGGTAAATTGTTCACTCTCTCTCATATAGATATATACCTCCCCCTGTCACACACACACCACACAAAGTGATATTTGCATTCAGCAATAAACAACAAAAGCAAACTGCAGAATAATATATGACAGTTCCATGTTTTTTTGTAGCTAAAAATGATAAACAACTGACAATTTCATGTAGTTTCAAGATATATATTAGCATTTATAAGTATGTTTAATCATATATATATATGATAAAACATACATATATATGATTAAACATATATATATATATATATTTCTCTAATATAAATATATATTTTATATTAGGAAAAATATAGGCTTATATATATAATTTAATGGTTATTTTCTGGTGGTGAAATTTTTTGTCTTTGTGATTGTACTTTTTATTTTGGATTCAATAACTGCTTGGTAACTATGTAAATAATAGAAATAATTCTCAAAGAAAAAAATGACAACTTAGAGCACTATTAAAAGCCACTTTTTGAATCTTTAACTTTTAAATACAAAAAAAGATTATAAGATTAAGTTGCAATTACCGATCATCGACTTCCCTTTACCCTGAAGGTAGCTGTCAGTATATAAGGTAGACCCTGTGAAAATTGTTATGATTTTCCCAAACCACAGCTCAGCTGCAGCGGACTCAAAATTGTAGCATTTCTCTGCCTGCAGGACACAAAAGGGGCCCTCCTGGGCCTATCTGTATACCCAAGGGCCCCAGGGAGGCAGAGACTAACTGAATTTGACCATGCAGAGCCCCAGATTTGTTGCCAGGAAGTGGCAATAATCACAAAAACACAAACCCCAATTAATCAGGAGCTCTTGGAGTGGGGCCCAGCCATGGGTATTTATTTTAAAAGCTCCCCAGGTAATTCTAAATGTGCAGCCAACATTCAGAACCATGGCCCTAATGGACTAATTTACTAAGGGGTCATTTAAATATGGCCTTTGGATAGAGGTAAAATGAAAGCAGAGAGGATTTGGTTGACCAAGGCCAAGTTGTTGCATGGCCTTGAGCCTTGTGAGAAAATGATTATGCAAACAGAGTAACAGAACATTGAATGTGAAGTGGGCAGTTCTTGCAAAGTTAGAGAGGTCAGTGGGTGGCCCTCCCTAGTGCCCATAAACCGATGTCAAATCAGACATCTCTAGTTAGGAAAATGCTCTGTGGTGGCAGCTTGCTGTCAAGGTAAAGTTATTTCACAAAATGCAGCAGAACCCAATTTTGATGCTGATGCCATGGGACTAAAGCTGTCTTGAGCCCCAGAGGCCTCTAGCCTTTTCCATAAGAGGATGCACACTAATACAAGAGACATGCTGGACTTCAGCACAAAGTAGAAGCCTCTTGCATAATTTTTACTCTGATTTAGGGAATCATTTTGAATGCATTCTTTATTTTTTATTTGTTGTTTTCAGATATACATGACACTAGAGTGTATTTTTGACATATTATACATATACGGAATGCAACCCACTCCAAACTTTATCCCATTCTTGTGGTTGAATGCATTCTTGTGGCCTATGTGTCTTTGGTTGATATCCTACAGATAGATGTACAGTAGGTGCAGACAGCAGAGCCCCTAGTGGCCTTCTGGTTTCTGCCTTTTTTTTTTTTTTAATATATCAGGAAACTGAAGTTTTGACTTGCCTTGATCTTACAGTAAGCAGAGGCCAGGTGTAGACCCAAATTTAACTTTCTTCACTCAGGTGTGCCCAAATCTTGCTAGAATTTCTGATTTGGAGTTTTGGCTTGTCCATAAGCAGTAGCACAAATAGGCATTTTTTCACTCTGAATAGATGATGATCCTGATAAACAGCATCATGATATTCAGGTATTGACATTATATTATTAGCTTCCATTTATTACAGTTATTAATGACAAAATATGTGCTAGCCCTATGCTGCATCCTCACTATCAACCCTCAAGGATTATTTTTATTCCCATTTATCTTCAGAGAACACTGGGGTCTCACAAGAAGAATGCAGATACTTCAAGATTTCAATTCAGTTCTGACCCGAAGAGTCTGCACTAACTGCACAGTACCACAGTGCTCATACCCATAGCACCAGAGCTGGGTCAGAGAGGAAAATGCCCCTCTCCTGCCCTGTGTGCCCTATGGCCTGATTTCTCTGTCTCTGGATATTATAGCCCCGTTAACTCTTTCTTCTTTCAGAGCTATACCCAGTGAAACTCTCTCACCCTGATTTTTTCATAGCCTAACTTTATTTTATTTATTTTTCTGGGGAGTAGTTATATATCTCACCTGTTTCTAATGGAGTTTTATTTTGCTACCTGGCATAATCTCCATTTCCTGTGGTTCAGAAGGAAGAAAATACTGTTACGCTCAGCCAGAGTTCTAAACAGATGTTCTACACATCTCCTTGTGTGGTTGTAGCAATGCATCACTTTCAGACACCTCAGCCCTAGCCTGCCAGCATCACTGTGCCCATGCCAAGTGCTTTGAGATATCCTGCAATAAGCAAAATCTGAAGCTAGGCTAAACCCACCAAAGTCACTTCATTCTAATTCTTGAGTGTATTAGCATCTGGATGTCAGGAGGTGCCACCTGCTCTTGGGAAATTTCATGGTGTTGAATCAGTACAGTAAGGGGATTGCAAGGATTTAGTTTTTAAGAAGCCTGACGGTGTGAAACTCATACTGTCATATCACCATACACAAATTATTATCTTTCATAGGAATTTTTTATTTTAGAGAAAGTTCTGCCAGAAATTACCCTCAGCCATCTCAATTTCCTCTTCTATTAAAAAAATGGCTCATTTGCAAGTGTGTAGTTACCCACAACTTGTAAAAGCTACTTCCATAACCTATCAGATGGCAAAATACACAAAAGCTATATTTAAACCACACTACATTTGTATACTGAAAAGGCTTTCTGTCAAAGTCAGTATTAAGTGCAGGAATGGGTTAGGGTAAGAGAAATTCCATGGAGACCTCTGGATATAGCAGTTTATCTGCCTGGGAGGGGATATGGTGCAGTCAGTCAGATAATATTTATGAAGTTCTCAAATGTGTAGTGTGCTAGATTTGATTCAGTTAAAAACATAATCCAAAATGACAGTCTCACTCCTGGTGGCTCACCTTCAGGCAGATAGAGAAGGGGACTACAAAAGGTGACCTTTCAAGGCCCTTTCCCGTTGTGTGATTCTGTGAGGAATAACAACAGCCCAGGTCCCTTTGTCTGACAGTATCCCACATAAACTCTAGGAAGGAAATGATGATGTGGGGAGCACCATGAGATCTTCCAGAATCTTGGCATGGCATTGAAGGAGAGTCCTTTCCGGTTTCTGCATTTTGGTGGAGCTGTGTTGGTCTGAGATTGGACCAGAGGCAGGAAAAATGGAGAGAGAGCAACTCTGTTATAAAACAAAAAAAGCCACAGCACCAAGTCTCAATGTGATCTGCATGGATTCTATTATTTGGTGAAGGGCTAGGAAAGAGGATGTAGGGCCTTGCAGGGGGCTGATAAAGTTCCCTCAGTTGAGCTCTGACTACTGAGGTCCTGCTGATTGTCCTTTCTTTTTATCCACCTTACCTGATGGGCGCACTGCTGAATATCATTATAAAATGATAACTTTTCCAGTTTGGGAGGTGGTACACATTTTAACAGCTAAGGAAGAAATGAAACAGACACACAGTGATTTATTAAAGACAAAACTCTAACATGCTCACAATACCACACCCACAACCCACAAACCCCCACACACAGATAAACAGAATTTGGAATTTTCTGTCCAGTCCATGATTACTGCAAATCAAGGCAGGATCCCTTTAAATATTTATCCACTGGTCCATTTTTCTATCATCACATATAGTGAAATGGTATCTCTTACCTGAACAGGCTTCTCACTGCATATAAAAAGGAACAGGCAGCAAGTTCACTGCTCCTACCAAACTGATAACAACTAGGAAAGGCAACAGAGAAAAATGCTAGCAAACTGGAGAGAAAATAAATTTTTAAAAATCAAATGATCATCTTGGAAAAATATTTCAAAAGAGGCAAATAAAAAATAGAATGAAAAAGAAAAACACGGACAATGTAATCCATATTGTCTGCAGAAATGGAGAAAATGTATCATTTATAGAGATAGATATAAAGTGATACAGAAAATATATCTGCTCCATGTAAATTTATTAAATGCAACTTTCTTTTTCTCTCTCTTTCTTTTAGATAAAAAACCTCTTCATGAAATAAAACCCCAAAGTAAGTTATTTTTCCTCTTGTGAATATAATTTATTCTCATATTTGCTGCCTTACTGTTGTATTTGTATAGGAACCAAACAGAATTGAAGTCCCCGTGAAAGATCCAGGGCTTTGGGGGCTTCTTCTCATTGAGTTTGGAGTTGCATATCAGAGGTTTAAATCAAAAAGAAATATGCACACCCTTTCCCTCCCTCTGAGCACAAGTAAATCTCTCTTCTTGATTCTTTCTGCCTGTAAGTCCATTGCTCTGCAAATGTCATCTAGGATTCTTATTTCTGGAGAGATTTATAGCATTAAAATTAATAAATATTTTTCATTCTACACTTTCATGAGAACAGCCTTTTAGGCAAAAGCCTGTCTCTAAGCTATTCCACTGAGGAGGAGAGGAAGTGGAGGAAGCAAACCCAGAATCTTACCTGCGAAGGCATCCATGACAACTGGGTAGATGAGGAGCCAGATTTCCACAGTGAAATAATTATGAACCCAGAATGTTGGTGTTGGTGCTGGCATGCTCCCTAGATGCAGACATGCTTCCTGAAAGAGACCTTTGCATCATTTCCATTTTATGCATCCTATAGCTATGGAGAAAGGAATGTGGCTTAAATGCTTGGCAGCTTGCCATTTGACCCTGTGGTTCTCAACCTTAACTGTACTTTGGAATCTCCCAGAGGGCTTTTTAAAATCCCAGTTCCAAAACTGTACCAGTGAAGTCAGTATTTGCGGTGGGAGGGTGTTAAAATCCAGGAGACCCCATTTTTTTCAAACTTCCTCAAGTGATTCCAATGTGCAACTCAGGCTAAGCACCACTATCTAAGAAAGGCAGTTCTCAAAAAAAAAAAAAAAAAACAGATCAGAGATCAAATGCATCCAGATCTTGGGGTATGGTGGGAACTTATTAAATAGCCCCACCTTAGAATAGAACAAGTGAATTAGAATCTCTGGTGGGGGTTGCTGTTAAGTATTTCCATGTTAACATGTCCTTTTGGTCATCGTAATACACTCAGAAATAGGTAAAGTATCCCAAGAAACTTCAAGATAGAAGGCATCAGCAGTTCAGCTCTTATCAATAGAAGAGTAGACAGCTACCCAGTTGGTTTGATTTGTAAAGCTTGTGAAAAATGTCCTGGCCCACTTTCCTTCATTTTAGTATAAAATGAATGACTTTTGATCTTTTAAATCCTAGGGCATTAAGATTCAAACAGCTTGGGAGAGTTAATAGTTTTTATTAGCTGACTTCTTTGAAAGACTTAAGACCCTGTGAGGATAGACAGAAATAGGTACCTTGGGGCAGGCCATCAGGAGAGATGAGAGAAAGATCCAGAAAAGCCATTCCATTCATACTTCCTTATATTGCTTTAGGCAAGCCAGAGATATAAAGATGTTGTTACTTGCAGAGTCAGAAAACTTTGTAAAATAAACTTTCTTAACTTTTTTCTCTGCAGCCATCTGCTCATACAGGAATCACTGGTACTTAGGTTATCTGCACTCTGACATCATGCATAGTGGCTTTTGAATGCATAGAAAGATGGAGTTTGGGGAGCCTGGCTATGTATGTGTGGGCTTGTATGTAGGTATGTGTGCACGATGAGGAAGGGGAAAAGACAGGGCCACTGAATATTTGGCCTGTGCTGTGTCAAGGTCCTCAGGGTGACAGCTGGAGGGAAAGGACTCTTACCTTCCTCTTTGTTCTATGTGCATGCCATCTGCAGGTTTGGGTGCATACCACAGGCAAGATTGTGACCGTCCATGTGGTGGCCGAGATGAAAGTTACTTAGAAATGCATGTGTGTGTGTTTTTAAAATTAATTTCATGCTCAGTTTGTGAGTACTGTGGCATTCAAATTTGGTTACATCTGTACTTCCAGTCATAAACCCCACAGAAGCTATTTCTAGTCCTTAGGGAGTCCTGAATTAGTTTTTGCTTGGGGTTCTCACTCCTGAGTACCATGCTTAATTGCTGGATACTGCAATGGAATCGCTTAAATGGTTTTAATTTGTGATTTCCCTAAAAATAAAACTTTAACAGAATCAATGTGATTGCAAAAGGCTCCCAGAGGAATCCAATCGGAGTTCTGTAAGCGGCGTGGTTAGAAGTGCATTATACAAATTCAAGCTGCATCGTTCAGCGAAAGTGGGGCTTAGTTTAAGACTACATGAATCATCACTGATGCAAAAATCAAAGTCAATTATGAAGATAATTGAGAAACAACCTGTTCCTATATATAGCTGTACACACGATCCTCCACAGGCCTGGTGGATAGAAAACATCACTTGGAACTTCGCACACAGTCCTCCGTGAGCAGGCGGGCAGAGGAGCCAGCTTTGAGTTGCGGGGAGGTGTAAAAAGAAAGTGAAGTCTTAAGATATCTGTTGGCAAATCATAATGACAAACTGGGGGAAATATGTGCACTGCATAGCTCACGAAAGCACTTATTGTAAATGAGATAATTTAATCAATTACGTTTCCTAATGTACTAAACCGAATGTTTCATTTTCTGCTTCTGCACATCTTAAATTATCTTCAGGTGCTTTATGAGATTTAATCATAGTTAATAGAAACTTCATTACCATCAAATGTGCTTTCAATAAATGTTGTGTAACAATGTCAGGAGGTGCAGTAAAATATGGTAGGTTCTGAATGGCAAACGTGCACCCCCAGAGTCAGACTGAAAAATGGTTTCGCTCAGACAATGAAACTCCTTAGAGGCTAGAAGAATGTGGTTTTCTGAAAAGCTGTGATCTCCTGAGGAGTCTGGTTCGTAAGTTCACCTGCAGGGTAAACTAACAGGATTTAGCTTTCTCTGAGAAAATACCTGAGCACTATATCTCCTCACCATGCCTCCTTTCTTCAGAGCTAACGGAGATGAATGCTGAAGCGGAATCCAACTAGTTAACTTCCAGAGTCAGCTACCTCCAGAACATCTTCAGCTGGATATCTCACAATAACCTTAATCTCAACCTCCAAATTGAATGTATTCTTCTCTGAAACCTGTCTCTCCTCCATCCCACTTCCCTTCTTCTCGCTTGCAATGAACTCAGTAGTCTGGGGCGGAAATCTGGACAGATTCCTAGTCCCATCTGTCTTCATTTCTCTTCTGTTGCTCAATATCCAAAAAACAATCACCAATATCTCAATACTACCCAAACAGATTTCAGGTTCATCCACTGCTCTCCATTTCTATTCTACTCAAATCCTTCTCTCCATTCATTCAGCAGTTTAATTGAGTGCTTACTGGGTGCTAGGAGATGGTCTAGGGAATGGAGAATCAGCACTGACCACAACACCTACAGTTTCAGCTTTCAGGAAGCTCACAGTCTTAGAGAAGGAAGGTAGAATAAATAAGTAAGGCAGCAAATACACAGTGCTAAGTGTTGTAGAGATGGTGTGAAGAGTTAGAAAGAGAAATGAACTAGGGTGAGGGGCTTAGGCAGCATTGGCGGGAGGGTTGATTTTTGGTGTGAGTTGTTCATAGAAGATCTATGTAATAAAATTAAACTTGAGAAGAGACCTGGGGAAAAAAAATGCAAGGAAACAAACAAACATGCTGGATATCTGGGGGACAAGATATGGGGCAAAACAAACAGCACGATGCAAAGGCAGTGTGAGGTGGGAGCTCACTTGAAGTGTCTGAGGGACAACAAGGAGGCCAGGCTGAGGAAGAATAGTAATAGCTGAAGTCCAAGAGTAGGGTTGGGGGAAGACCCCATGTGTGTTTTAGTCCATTATAAGGACCTTGAGTTTTACTCTAAGTGACATAGGAAGCCATCAAGGGTTTTTATTCAGAGTGATGTTACCTAATATTTTCAAGGCTAAACACTGTCTGCTGCATTTAGCGTAACCCTATAGGGAACCAAAGAAGAAGCAAGGAGATCTATTAAAATGATCTGGTATACGCTATGAGGATGATCCAGGTTCAAGATGATTGTGGCTTTAGCCAGAGAGGTAGAAATAAGAATTATAAAAAAGGTGTCCTATTCTGAAGGCACACAAAAAAGGATTTGCTGATGAATTGGGCCTAATGTATGAGAGAAAGAAAAATGTTGTGGGTAATCCCAAAATTTGGGCCACACAACAGATGGAGTTGCCATTATTGATGTGGGGACAACCTGGTTTAGCAAATCTGGAGGCAGAAGCAAGGGCTCAGCTTCAGATACCTATTAAAGCATCTGAACGGAGAGATTGAATAGGCAGTTGAATATATGAGTCTGGAGGGCAGAGGACTGTCCTGGCTGGTGACATAAATCCAGGGCCTGTCAGTGTCCAGATGATACTTAAAACCATTCATTTAGATGAGATCACTGGTGGATACCAAATGTGAATAAAATACAAAGATCTAAGGACTGAGCCCTGAATGACAATAACACTTAAATATAGAGAAGGTCAAAAGTCACTGCAAAGGAGAAAGGAAAGTAACAGCAGCAGGCATAGTAGTAATAGACAACCAAAATGAAAAGAAAATGTTCCCAGAAGAAGAGTTTTCAAAGTCAGGCCATCTTCCTAACCAGGATTTCTACAGTTGCCTCCTTGTATCCAGGCTTGCCCTATATCAATTTTTTCTAAGCTTTTCAAAACATTAATTCTTATCACCTTCCTGTTTAAAACCCTTCAGTAGCTCACCTTTGTTCTTACGATGAAGTCCAAAGAAATTATGCACTATCTGTGCCCAGCTTCCTTCTCCTAATCCTTTCAGCTTCTCTTTTTTATTTTTTAAATTTATTTCTTACATACATGACAATAGTGGAATGCATTACATTCATAATTATCCATTCACAGCACAATTTTTTGTAACTCTCTCTATTAAGTATGTTCACGCCAAATTATGCCATTATACATGAGCTCTCTTATTTTTTTTGCATTACAGTTCTTAATACACCTTTATACCACAACGTATCATATTTCTATTTGTATATATGGTATATTGACACCCAATTCACATCTTCACACATGTATTTTGTATAATTATGAGGGTCTCCTTCCACCATCCTTGCTATTCCCCTTCT